CCCCAAAACCCCAAAACCCCAAAACCCCATTTGACCTATATATGTCAATTTTATCGGAATGGGATATTATGGGATCAAATTATTTGATTTTTTTAGTAATTATAATATGAAAAACAACAGTAGGCAGGTTGCTTCATAGCAATAAGACCTGTTAAGAAAAGATAATCAAAGTTTTACTCGAGAATTGCAACCATAACCTTTGCTTAAATATTAGTTAGGCCCAGGAAGCAATATTATACTCAAAAACTCTAACATAGTGATTACTCAAAACACCATAACCAAGGGAATGAACTAGCCATAATTCCCATTAAGTTAATTCATTGAAAAAGAACCTAATTTGTTTGAAGTAAATAGCTCCTAACAAGATAAGCTAAAGAAAAAAGTTCAGAATCATCAAAGATCTTATTCATTTGAGTAGAAAGCTAAAATTTACCAGTAAAAAGTTCCCTAGTACAACACTTTTGCCCCTAATGCATAAACTTTCATGCAATAACAAAATCAATAATAAAGTAACAGAAATACTTTTATCTAACTTTTTTAAAGGTAATGGCTCTCGAAATCAAGCAAGATTTTAAAGGGTTCAGTCGACTGGAGCTGCTCAACAGTAAAATTCAAAGAATAATGCGCAATAATTAGCGTAAATGCTAAGTAATTCTTACAAGCATCAGTAGAGAAAACTTAGCTACTCTCCAATATTGAAGCAATCTGTTCCTAAAAGTAAATTCATGTATTAAATTTATTTCTAGCCAGGAAAAGAGTAAGTCAAGAGGAAATGCTGCGAATTCCTTAGAGAAGAGCTCATTCAAAGACAGATAAATATCATGATGATGGCTTATTATTGCCTAATGAGGATTCTGTTGATAATTCTTCTTAACCTGGAAATCATTTTGGAACTCATACTACTCAAGGTTTTATGGTTTAAAATTCATTTGACAAATAACTGCCATCAAGATTTTCCCCTTTGTAATTTGCAAATAACTCACATATGAATGGTATCAATAAAAGAATGGATAGTAAGGATTATCAAACAAGAAATAATAATCTAATCAGACCATCATCTGCAACTCTTAAAAGAAAAGACCCAGCAAAGAAAAGTGAGGACTTGACATCAAACCTAAGATAACTTCTTTAAACTAACTATAACTCGAATTCTAAAAATACTTAGGAAAATAGCAGCATCAATAACAGCTACCAATTTAATTAGTTGAATAATATCAATTTCTAGAATAAAAGCTTCAATGCCAATAACTAGCCTTCAAGATAAGATCAGCAATTGTAGTAAAGATCGAAGAGGGATAGAAGTTTCTAAAATCCCATAGAAAATGTTTAATAATAAGCACAATAAAAATCTAGGACAAATGAAATTTTTAACAAAATATCTAAACCTACGTTTTAAAAAAGCTCTAATTCTAACTAAAGATCAACTTAGAATAGTCATAATGGTAGTCTAAATGATGAAATAAGAACCGAGGGCAGACCAAGTTCAGGCCTTAAAAAGACTAACCCTACCAATTCAGATAGTAATGTCTAGAGAGAAAATTCAATGGATAAGCAATAGCCATAGAAATAATTAGATCTATAATAGCATAGTTTCTAAACTGCTAATCCCTCACAAATGTACACTAATTGTGTCACAAAATTTGCCTTCGCTACTAAGACTGGCATGGCTCCTTCAAATCCTAACAAAGTAAACTAAGATAACTGGATCACAGTTCCTCATTTCAATAATATGAAGTTTTGCCACTTCTTCTCAGTTTGCGATGGACATGGCTAGTATGGGAGAGAAGTATCTATGCAGCTAAAAAACAGACTACCTTAGTATCTTGAAAATGAAATGAAATATGTATTCTAAAGATACGAGGATAAGCTCAAATAACTTAAAGTAAATGAACTTCTTAATACAGATGAAATATGTCTAGCCTTCAATGATGCTTTCCTCGATATGAATGATGAGTTATTTAATGGAAGCATTGATGTTAGATTTTCAGGATCTACTTGCGTCAGCTTGATTACTCTAGGCTAAAAATTATTTTGCTCCAATGTTGGAGATTCAAGAGGTATTGTTGTAAAGAAATTTCCAGATGGAAGAATGTAGGCTTTAGCTATCAGTAGGGATTAAAAGCCATGCTAGAAAGATGAAGCTGATAGAATCATAAGTTGTGATGGGAGAATTGACTCCTTTAGAGATCAAGAAAGAAGGCCAGTTGGACCACTTAGAGTTTGGCTCAAGCATGAAGATATTCCAGGTTTAGCCATGACTAGATCATTTGGAGATGAAGTAGCTAGCAGAGTAGGAGTAATTGCTGAGCCAGGTAATTTTCTTAATCAATTAACTGTTCTGCTGTAGAAATACTTGAATTAGACCTTTGTAAAGATGATAAATTTATTGTGCTTGCAAGTGATGGTGTTTGGGAGTTTTTACAAAACGATGATGTAGCTAAGATAGTTATGCCCTTCTTTGAGAAGAGAAATGCTGAAGGAGCAGCTGAAGCTTTGGTTAGAGAAAGCTACCTAAGATGGAAAAAAGAAGAGGATGATATAGTTGATGACATCACTTGTGTTATAATTTTCCTTGATGTAAAGTTACCTCAGCAAAGTCCATCTGCAAATGATACATAATGACCGATTACTTTTTTATTATTTAATTATATCATTTTTAGCTGTATTAATCATTTATATTCGATTATTGCATTTTTAATCTCTTGGGGTTTTGGGGTTTTGGGGTTTTGGGG